CACTGGGAACAAAGTTAGCTAATAGCCACACGGGCTTGCTCGAGGTGTTAATTTTTTCTTAATATCATTTACAGTGATAATAAAACAAGACATCCTGTATCAGAACCGTATATTATTTTTTTTTAAAAATAAATCATTAATACATGCGTTGTTTTTATTTTTAGTGTTTATGATTTTTAAAAATAAATAATTATTACACACCGTGAGCAAGTCCTTGTGAAATATCTTAAATTTACAATACCAAAAATCAATTTGTTCTTAAAATTATCTATATTCATGAACACAAAATATATATTACTTTTTAAAAACAAAATGGTATTTTTATTTCATGTGTTATAAAAGGAACATTCCGCTACAGAATTCACAGGAATATAACTATATAATCTCATGAAAAAAAAATCTCTGTCCTTTTTTTTTGGGGGGGGGGGGAGGGGGGGGGCTACTGGTATACAAATGTTTAGTTTTCAAAGATTGACTTTTACCATGAAAAACTTTTTAATGGCTTTTACATCATGAATAATTCTAATTAATTCGTTATTTTTTTTTTAATAATGCAGCGGTAAGTACATGTATCTGTCAAAATCTAGTCGGTCTTCAATGATTGTTATTTCAAAATCGATTTTCAGAGGAACGGCCGATCAGACTAAACAGGACATCCGACCAGATGTATATACACATTGAGAAACGGAGTAAGATTAACAGATGATCAGTGTACAGTAAACCGACTGGTCAGACAATAGACCTTAATTAGGTGTCCCCCCGTCCCCGGTTAACTAACAGGAAACTATACATACACAACGTACACTGACAGATTTTAATGATCAATTATTTTTTTTAAAAAAATTAAATTTAACGCAAGCATATAACAAATTAAAAAATATGATTCATCGTAAAAAGCCAATTATTTTGATACCCATTATGATACAAAAAGAATTGAAACTGAATATGATATTCTAAAAAAAGTTTTTGTAAACGTAATTAACCAGGTAACGCGAGGATTGTCACTAAATTGTTGACACAGAAACCGTTAATATCCGCAGTATATTAAAAATAATAGTAGAATCTGTTTTTTCCTCTTTCCTTTTCGATGATAGACTTTTGTGTTTTATCTATAATTAATTCATTTTCAATCATGATTTAATGCTTACATTTCGAAAATTTTGGAATAACAGAGCGAAGAACTCAATCACATTACATCAATCTCAAAGCCGAACTCAGTGTAGAAATATATATTAATGTGTTAAGATCCACAAATAAAATTGTTTATGTTTTGATTAATAAATCAATTCAAGACTTTTGGAAATGTTCAACAAAATACTAGTACCTTTACAAGTCCAAACAAATTTTGAAAAAAATAAAGGTTAAATATCTCATATTTTCATTACATTTTGAAGAGCGGCGATAGCCTAATGGATAAGGCGTTCGCCTTGCAACCCAAAGGTCATGGGTTCGCGCCCCGTCAGTGGCGATTTTTTTTTTTTTTTTTTTTTTTTGGATTTTGAATTTCGTTATTTTTCATAATCTTTACCAAATTAAGATATAAGCGAACTCTACATTTATAATATTGATAACAAATCACTATAAAAATAAATTTTCACCCATATAAACAATATTATCGACTGCGTAATGTGACTTAATGGTGGCTTAATGGTGGCTTAATGGTAGCTTAATGGAGTTTGGACATTAAGCACCTGTAAGTCTAGCTTAATGGTAGCTTAATGGTGACTTAATGGTGGTCTAAAAGTTACCATTAAGGACCTGTAAGCCACCATTAAGCTACCATTAAGCCACATTTAAGCACCCATTAAGGACTTTGAGTTGGCTTAATGGTAACTTAATGGTGTTGTAAATGTTACTTAAAGGTGCTTAATGGTGACTTAATGGTGACTTAAAGACAACCATTAATCCACCATTAAGGACCTATAAACCACCATTAAGCCGGACTTAAAGGGTGTGTTTCATCTTGTGATACCCCATGAACTCGAAACAAGGACAACACAAAAGAGTCTAAAATATCTACATTTATATTCGCCTAAAAAGAGTCGTCACTGGTATGTCACCAACAAAACTCCACAACAAAGTCACGACATCAACTCTTCCATCGTCAACCTCTCCTATCTATTTCACAATGTTCCATTATCACCCACATATGAAGCCCATGTCCCAAGCAGACTAGATCAATATACAGGCACAAACTTCACGTGCAAACAATTTCCAAAACGAGACAAGCTATACAATAACAATTTAGAAAAAAAGACCATCAAAAGTCTTGTCCAAGGTCAACATCTCTCATACTCCACAGCTAATATAATGTCCTTGCCAGCAAATACAATCTTTCATAAAGTCAACATATTGATTTACAAGAGGCTAAGTACAGATATATTTCTATATAGTCCTAAAAACATACAGTACCACGTCTTCAACGATGTTGCCTCAGACAGTCATTTTGATATATTTGCATTTTCTTTGTTTTCTTACACTATGAACCCCGGGGCTTCAATTTCATTCAAACCAGATATAAAACTTACAGAGTCTCTAAGTTCGTCAAACCAGTAAGTGTGCTGTTCGTGATTGTAGTTATTTCGTTATTGTCCAGATACCTGAAAAAAAAAAAGAAAAGCAAATGTCAAGAGCGTTTTTTTTTTCAAGCAAAGAATTATATAAATTTTCCCTGAAAGTTTGTTTTTGTAAGAAAGAAAAACAGATGAGTTTCAACTATTACGGGTATATTTTCGCCTAGATTCGCAATGCAAATACATGGAATTTAATCGGTACATGTACGACATGATGGGACAGTTTACGCTTTATTAAATGCGAAGCGTTTATGATGAATGAATTAATGAAGAATGGACGTGAAAAACATCCCTTTCAAGTTAAATAAATGGGACAGTCTGCACTATGAATACCAAAAAGCATCAATACAGAATGAAGACAAGGCATATATTAAGACTGATATTCCAGAAAAAATTTAAGATAATGAGCTTAAATTCCCTCTAATCTTGCTAAATCATTGAATAAATAAATGTTTTAGATTTTAAGGGTTGGGGAATTGATAATGATCAACTTACATGTATTTTAATTTTGTCAAACCGCTGAATGAATTGTCCTCTATTGTGGTTATTTTGTTTCTGTGTAGAAACCTGAAAGATATTTTGGAAAGTGAATGTCAAGTACAGGTATTTGTAATTATATCTGTTCCTTTATTATAATAATGAAGAATTACTGATTACATTAATAATTCTTACTAGCCTCACAATGCAATCACAGATACATTAAAGATTATTATGTACATATTTGTCAACCTGATTTGCTCATCCCACATTTTCTTTTGAATCTGTAGGTTGTTCATTGTATATTTTTTTCTGTATATTTTATTTTCTCTATCCATGAGTCTACTTTCCCCTGTTTTTTTTGTTGGTTTTTGTTGGTTTTTTTTTTTTTTGTTGCAAATATAACTACAAACTGCTTATCGTTAAATGAGGTTTATTAGAATGCCAAACAAATTAATGAAATATATTCAAAATTGCAGATACCCCTGTTTTAATGTATCCACTATAAGGATATTAATATATATTACGAAAAAATACAAGTACGACTATATAGGAATTGACAAGAATAATGGGAGACACAATTGCCACAAACGTGTCGATAACTTACACAAGTTATTGACAAGTGCCTCTTTCAGTGGAGACTGATGGGAAATATCAACACCTACAATGTAAAGACTAAAAAGAGAAACAATCCAACAAACCATCAAATGTACGAATTAACTATACATTTCCTGTAACTTGTCAAATATCTATATTCACTGGTAGGATCACCTATCAATCTTTCAGTTTTCACGCGAAAACCATGTATAAATACGTATTTGTGTATCTTATTCCAACGCCATGACAGTATACACCCCCGTGACGAACCGGAAACAAACGAAATTTACAAAATTCAATAACAGCAAAAGTTGAAACCCCCATAGAATAGCTGTGCCATGTTAAGTCAACAATAAAACTTCAACAACAAAGTGACGACGTCAACTCTTCCATCGCTCATCTCCATAATTTATTTCGCAATATACCGTTAACACCCACATATAAGTTTTGTCCACAAAAAACTGATATATGAGGCACATGTTCAAAGTACGAACACTTTCCAAAACCGGAGCAAGCTATACAATAATAAGTCCATGATAAAAACAAAAAATGCCGAGGTTATCATATCGCATACTCCACAGCTAGTATAATGTCCTTGCCAACAAAAACAATCTTTTATGAAGTCAAGCGTTGTGTTGGACTTTTGGGATTGAATAATGTTCTTTATATTCATATATTTCATTCTAACACATTGATAAATTACAGTGGGCTAAGTACAAATATATTGTTATCTAGTCCTACAAACATAACAGAGTACCTAATCTTCAACGATGAGCCTCAGTCAGTCATTTTGATATAATTATATTTGACAATGTAAAACAGAACACTTTAAAATGGGTTATTAACTATGCCATCATCCTGATGCAAGTTGTACAACACTGTAAACAGGGAATAGTATAAATAGCTAGGGAAATGGATAAAACGAGCACTTTTCAAAAACAAAGTCCATAAAACAATACAAAACAGAAGCAGAGCAAACACGGACCTCCGAAACATCAGAGGTGGGATCAGGTGCCATGTAGGAGTGAGCATCCTCTGCCGAACGCTCACATCCGCCAAGTGCTCATTTTCATGATCAGGAAATAATGGAACATTCCGTCGTTAATTCAGTGTATAAATAATGGGCTAAAAACTTATATAAAAATCTTCAGTCAGCAGTTGACAAGGTCATACATAACTAACGAAACGTTTATGTCATCAAATATTGATGAAAATATACTTCAACATAGAATATATTATAAGGTCATCAACTATGCCGACAGCCATACTTGCCACCTTAGAAAGCCACAAATCTTTAACTGTTTTGAACTTTAAATGCAATATAATTCATAAACACCTACAATAATACCTCAGACCACACCAATTCCGAAAAAAAAATAAACATAAGATAACAATACAAGACATGGAATAATTTTTTTATGTTGCACATAAATAGAATGATTCAAGTTTGCCGGTAAAAATTTTAAAAATTCAAGAATACAATGCTTTTTTCCCGAATATTTTGAATCAAACAACAGGATGTTATAATTTGGCGGATTGATACTCCGATTTTTTTTTTACTAAGATCAAACTCTTAGAAACAAAACTTACAAGCTTACTAAGTTTGTCAAACCAGTAAGTGTTCTGTTCTTTATTGTAGTAATTTTGTTTTTGTGTAGAGTTCTGAAAGAAAAAAAGAAAAACAATTGTCAAGAGCAAGTTTTCTTTTTTGTTCAAGTAAAAATAATTTTGCTTGGAAGTTTATTTTTATGAGAAAAAAAATACAAATAAGTTTTGATTATTACGGGTATAATTCCTTTCAGCTTTGCAATGCTAATACATAGAATTTAATCGAAATATACATGGTGGGACAGTTTACGCTTTATAAATTTCAAAGCGTCAATGATAAATGAATTTAAAAGATATTATAGTTTGGATATTGATACCCTAATGATATTTTAAATAACGAATTTAAAATCTCTCTAATTTTGTCAATCATTGAATGAAACAATAAACGGAATATTATATTTTAGAGTCTTGGTATCCTTTAAATAATTCTGAATAACAAACTTAGGGAGTCTTTATTTTGTAAAACCGCTAAACGCATTATTATCTATTGTTTTTATACGGTTTTTGCCCAAGTACCTGAAATATATTGTGAAGAGTGAGTGTCAAGTCTAAGCATCTGTTTATAATTTAATTCTGGTTTTAACGCTGTATTTGATTGGATAAAAATTTACTTTATGTCGTATAACATGGGTTGCCTACGTCACAATTACTTGCGTCAGAAACGTATCAATCCGCCTGACGTTACATTCAAATTTTGTACAAATTGAAGTCATTTTTTGAACAATCATCTTTTTTTCTTACATCAAATGAATAAAAAATAAATTATAAGCAATGAATTTAATAGCTACCCATTTTATACGGTATAAACTGGGTTTGAACAGTTAACGCTTTTTTATAAACCGTTTCGCGGTTTATAAAGCGTAAACTATGTTCCTCTCTTTTATGATTGGTAAAATTAAGGACCATCTCTAAAATTTTCACGCTAATTTCATTGGTTGAAATGCGTTCAAGTAATTGGAGATGACCCCACCAAAAAGAATAAATTGTAATCTTCACTGTATGACATAATTTTAAATAAATCCATACTTCTAAACATTATGTTAGTCCAAGATAGAGTAATTGAAAACTTTATTTGCATGTTTTTTCTCCATTTGAATAATCAAAAGCAATTTTTCTTTGTCATTAGTTCACTGTCTTCAAAGATTTTTCTTCGATAAAGAAGGCACGCTCCCTATATTAGAAATGGATTAGTTTATTTAAAAATAGCCTCCTTTACACAGTATAATTTTCTCAAAGTCCAAAAAACATTTTTCGTCAGTGTATAGAGGGTTCTTAAATTCATTCCTTAAATATCAACATGTATATTAAATATTACAATATATAACATCAATTTATTTATTCGATAATCTTAACTATGTATCATACATTAAACTTCCTTTGAATCTGTAGATTGCTTAATGAGTTCAAATAAATCATGTGAGTTATATGTATCATACTGATCGCTATTCAGGTTCGGCAAACATTTATGTAACAAAAAATCATTAGATACTTCTAACGTTCTTGATATTGATGAATCAAAACATAGGATATTATACTATGATGAACAGTTACTAAAACCATATTGGTTAAAACTCTAAGAAAACTCTTACAAGTACACCAGGTTTGTCAAGCTAGAAAATGTAGTGTTTTCTATCGTAGTAATCTCGTTCGAACGCAGGTCTCTGAAACATTGAAGAGTAAATGTCAAAAGCAAATTTTTTGATCCATTTAAAATAAATGTATGTTTGTTCTTTAAGAAAAAATACAGATTAACACATGAGAAAGTTTATTATCTCCACAATGCAATTATATTGAATTAAGGACAGATGATACAAACAAATAAAATAGATGCCTGGATTGGTACATATTTTTTGACCTAATTTCATTGCAAACGATGCAAATAATAAACCAGTAAAAAAATAGGAGCACCACGGACCCCCGAAACAACAGAGGTTAACCTTCAATACAAAAAAATTATTTCTCATTCTGTGTACGTATCATTCTACCTCCTGAAACCATACTAATTATTCTATACAAGTATTTTTCAATTCAATTCCGTTTTTGTGCAACTTTACTTTCAAAATGCAAATATATTGAATTAACGCGGTATAAACGGGGTTGGGACAGTTAACGCAATATAAACTGCTGAGCTTCAATAAAGAAAGAGTGCGCCGAATATTAATTAAAATAGATATATCAATATTTTAGATGTGGGAACATACAATTATCTTGTCAATCATAGAATAAATCCAAACATTGAACATTACAGTTTAGCGGATTGATATGTTACACAATTTTTTTAATGAGTGATTGCCCCTGAAATTTTTTGTTGTTAACAGAGAATTTGAAGAAAAATTAAAACGTTAAGTCGCAAAGACATTGAACAAACCACATATGATTTTTTTTGTCAAGAAGGATATGGAGATAACGAACAATTTTCAATCTCAAAGTCTCTCTGTCTCTCTGTCTCTGTCTGTTTCTCTCTCTATCTCTCTCTGCTGAGCAATCAATTTTGGTTGAGCAATTCATATTAACTTATGCTTAGTCCGTGATTATAAAAAAAATTGGACAGACTTTCTCTCTCTCTCTCTCTCTCTCTCTCTCTAGTAAGAAATTCATTTTGGTTCATATTTGGTTCATATTTGCAATAAAAATTATTTAACAGTTAAAGTGAATCTAATAACGATGTGATAGGTAAATGTGAAAGGTAAAGAAAAGCAATGGAATTCTACAAGTCAAGGTTTCATTCATCATTAATTGATATTTTAATTAATTGATATTTTTTAAGTCAGGTTGACAAAAAAACTAAAACAAAATGTTGATACGGATAAATGAACTTTTAAAATACATGTACTTTATATGTTTCTTTTTTCATGCAAGACCATGTTTCATCAAAACAGCTAATGTTGCCTAAATGAAAATAGTAATTACAGGCGAGACACTATATTCTTCTTTTATGATTTTCATCAAATTAGAAATAAATTGTATACTTAATTACAATGTACTTACAATTCACATGTGTCGCTGGGGAGGGTGGAAGGTACTTCTGTTAATCCTTTTCGCCTGCAATCTGCGGATTGTCCAGAGCATTTCGTCGACTGTTTACAGGTGCAAGGGCTACAGGCTTCAATCATAGAATCAAATAAAAAGGCACAGAAAACCAACGCCCATCGTGTCCAATTCATCTTACAAACCGGTATGCTATGTCTACGACTTTGTCAAACTCTGCAGTACTATAAGGATTACACTTTCTAATATTTCCAAGGATACGGATATACGACACAAGTAATACGGATCTTACTTTATTTACATCATTTGCTCTTCATTAACATATGATCATAGTACATGTAGTACTACGATCACTGTAACCAATCTAAAAATTTACAAAAGCACCACATATAAATCTAAGTTCTTTACTTATTAACTATTTCTGTTTTGGGGATACAAAATTTAAACTCACATGGTTTTTCGCACAAATGAAGGTCACATTGTTATAATGCAAAATTGTTTAATGTGACAACAAAGTATACATGTATTTTAAAAGTGATTTATAAGTCAATTTTTATCTTATTCCATTATTTTAAACATAATACACAAAATGTAATTCGTAGGATTTTATATGCTCTTGGATGACAGATAATGAAAGTTTCCAGATGGTTTTTTCATGGTTTCTCGTCAAATGCAACCGTCTTTGCATCCGTTTATTTTAAAGCAAAGAATGATTGCACTTAGTGTACTAAACGTGGCCCCCGGTAAATTGCGCAAAAATAAGGTACATGTATAGAAAGTAGCCTTATGAAATTAATTAAACAATTCTTCAAGTTCTAGATCGCAACTTTGCAAAATTACAGAAATTAAAAGTGAGTAATATTGAAGAACGAGACAGTGTTTTGTAAGAGGGGTCAATGCAAATCACGAATCTCCATTGTTATTCAAAGTTATTCCGATTTTTAGAGCTGAAATACATAGTAAGTGCATGCTTGCCCAAATTTCTCAAAAGGACAGAAGGTGTAGAACTTTTGGAAATTCAACAGATTTAAGGGAGAACTTTGGGCAAGCCTGTGCTCGGGGTAAACTTTTTGAAAAAAGGTACAAAACGCCGACAGTTTTCTTCCCTGTTTACGGGTATTTACATGTCATTGACCTCATTGTGACCTGTTTAATATTCCAATTTACCACGTGATTTGTAGACTCAGGTAACATTGTGAATACAAAAAAATCGATAAACCACGTGGTTGTAGATTCAGTCGAAAGGCGTCCAACTTAGACATTTACAGGTACATTTTCAATCAATCAACATAGAATTATTTCTTTTTTGTCAAGTGTTTTAATAGGGTGCTGGAATATTATATTGGAAAACAATGTAACGATATTTTATTTTTAGTCCTTGGATTTAAGGGGCACGTTTAGAGGCTCAACGAGTTTCAAAGATTTAGCTCCCATCTTCGAAGAAGCATCATTCCTCAAAGTGTTTTTGATAGTAACAATATAAGGACACGGGGTAGAATATGTTGATTGTTTAACACTGGCATGGAATTCTTACTGGTAAACACCCCTCCCCCCCCCCACACACACACACGAAAAAAAAACAAACAATAAAATATCACCACATACAGCATCACAAAAATATTCCGTACACCATTATTTAAAAGAAGTACGGGGTATTTACTGTACTTTAAAAAGTACGAATAGACGGTCTTACTAAACAGAGTATGCTAGTACGCTAGAGTACTTTAGAGTACGCTAGTAATATTTTATAATTTAATGCAACTAAACTACTTCTTGTATGTTTTTCTATATAATTATAACTTATTGAATATATATTTTTAATAAAGGGCAAGAGCCATGTTATGCATAAAATGGCCCTGTACTTACATCAATTAATTAACTATCACCCTCTTTCCATTTTCATATATCAAAATAAAGTAGACACTTGGTGCTTTCATGTTCTATAATGAAATTTCAAATTTCATATTTTTGAGAATCCAAACATTTAAAAACAGGCTTTGAGAAATTGCATTGTTCTTGAAATTTGCAGAAAATATGCGTATTTGACTACCTTCAGCAAAGAATTAAGATATGAGCACAGCCCACGATCCAAAAAATAAAATGTGTTTTTTGATCTTCAGAAATAGGCCTTTCATTATGTATTGGCATATTTTGATCAGAGGTTGTGCGCTATATGAAAAATTGAAAAAATGCTTCAACTTTAGGTCAATTTCAAAGGAATTTACAGGATATGAGGAAAATGACGCATTTTATGACGTCATAATGCATTGACTAGATGTGAAATTACGTCACAATTAATAGATACGTGGTCACCAACAGTCCAAGTGATAAATACTGCATTTGCAACCTAAACTAAGCTGTTTTGAATTTTCAGAAATTCTCAGGGCCAAATAAGGCCAAAAGTGGCTCTACCTCTTTGTATGTTTTCTTTATTTTAAGGGTTATTTCAATTTTTGATTTCAGGTTACGGTTTATCGTTTGATCCCGATCTAATTTAAACTTAAACGTTGAAATTCTCATTGTGAATGTGCAAAATATTTACACATGCAATAAATTAAATATTTGATAAAATTTAGATGCAAATCTTTAGTAAGTAAGGCTAAAACAAAATAGTAATTGAGATTGGGGTAGGCCTATTATTAATATTTAATGCGTTGAAATATGGGTGTTATTTTTCTGTCAATCTATCGCTATAAAAACAAATACTTGAAACAAATATTGCAGTATAAGTTTATAATAATGTTCAATCAAGTTGTACATACATAGTCAGATAAACAATTTAATTGCATAAAATAACATAATTTTTCTAGCGTACTCTAAAGTACTCTATCGTACTCTGTTTAGTAGTACCCACGAATAGAGAGAAAGAGAGAGAGAGAGAGAGAGATGTTTAAAATTGCAATATGGCACTAACCTTTTAAAAAATATAGAAGTTTTTCTTAAATATGATTTTCCCCGTTTTCATATAAAAGTATAGGCTCAGTTTATTTAATTTAGTGTTAAATTTCCACCGAGAAACGACTACAAGATGGGGGATCTGGATTTATAGGGATAATATACATCTCAAATCCTCCACCAGTACCATCTTTCGTTAAAAAAAAATGTCGCAATCCTTGAAAAATTCTTTGTGATTATTTTTCTGTTTACAGTTTGTATTTTGTATTAAATTCCAAAAGCCATTATAACTGGCTAAATATTACATGTTTTCAATCGATCGATGAACTTCCCCGCCTTCACTGAATATTTATGTGACGCAATTAAAACCCAACTCGGACAAGCGCAACATTCCGGAATTAACACGAAGTATATGGCTTTTTAAATAACCATTTATAAAACTAAGACGCCGTTTTCAGTGTGAATTTTTGAAACTAATATACCACAAAGATAACAAAGTATGAGGTAGGTGTAAAATAATTAACTTTTGAGTTAATCAGATAAAGTTAGAGGGGTCCGAAAAAGGGGCCACGGCACTATGCTTAAGTGGAAACATTCTTTTTGCCTTGCCTAGATATAGAAACAGTGCAGTTCATGTAACTGCGTATTTTCTGTACATTAATATGATATGGCGCAAAATGATAGAAATATTTCCAATCTGTTCGATTGCTTTCCATGTTAAAAAAAATGGGATCTTTTTATGTTAACTTTCTAAAATCTAGCATCTTGGAAGATACCTTCCAACGCAAAGTTTCCAAGTTTCAGACCATAAATGTAAAAAGAATTTTCTTTTTTTCAATATACAATTAACTATGTTGAAAGGTAACAATACTTTATTAATCCTATCCTTTGTCATGATTTCGTTGTGCAGTTTTGTCATTTCTTGGTGCTGTACACCGACAAACCAAGACAAGTATGGAAAATGTGCAAAGTATTTAGAAAAATACTCATCTGTAAGAAGTCAATTTGAACATTTCAACCAAATAGAATCAAGGAAGGACCGATTAATTATTTTTGTAAATATCTGTGGTAGAATTATACACATATAACATCATATAATTTATAAACAAATTCCCTTTTATAACATGGAGTTTTAAAACTTAAGATAATTATGTTAGAGAATATGCACCTTTAACATGAAATTTTTATTAATAATATAATAGTTATGTCTCGTACTGAAGCTCGAGAATTTTAAGTTTTATTGCAAGAAAAAAGTGACCTTAATTTGTGCGAAAAACCATGCGAGTTTAAAAGTTTCGTTGAGCTGTATAGAGGTTACAAAATAAATCTACTCTAGCAAAAATTATGGGCTCTCAACGACCATTTAACGTGGCGGTCCCGCTACAGCAATACCATTCTCTTCTAATATAATGGATATATCTATTTAGCCATGAGTCTACATTGTTCTGTTTTTGGCCAAACATATAACATAACACAGAGTTTGTCGAAAAGGAGCATTTAGTATTGAAAATGCCAAAAAATATTTCACGTCTTAAAGTACATAAGATACACGTAAAAAATCTTTTGCACAAAATAGACAGTAAATCTCATGTAAAAAAATATCTCATTACATGTAAACAAAGATAAATGTGGCCAATAATTAGTCCTATTTTTTGTCATAACTTGTCCAATGGGCAATACATTTGTTATTAATATGTCAGTATTCGTTGTTGAAGAGTTATCGTACATGAACAGTTGAAAGTGTTATAACAATTTAAACAAAGGAAAAAAATAATAGTGACTAAGTATTAGATAAAGATTAAATCTGGTTTTTGATAATCATTGAACATTGTAGTGATCATAGAACAACAGATACGTGAATTAAAATCATCCGTTTACGACAGAGCAAATGATGTAAATAAAGCAAAATTGTTATTATGTGACAGTGTAGTATATCCGTATTAAATGCATGTAAAGGGTGAAAAACATCCTCAACTTATGCACGAAACTGTTTGTCTTAGTACAGCAGAGTTTAACATAGGTCAGAGGCATAGCTTTTTCCTGTTTTTATGTTGTACAGAGTGATAGAAGGGCATTATACTTATAAAAGAAAACAAAATGCATTTTTAATATCATTCAATTTGAGTGAGTTTAAACAAGGCCTACCTGACCATTTAAAATATTTCGGCAGCGCATTGATCCTTTTTATCAGCGGAATTTTTGTCTGGGGTAGTTGCACCTGACTTAAGTTTTGAACATTTAAGGACATATTTTTACTCGCGTTATTATTATAAAATCAAATAAGATGTAACTTGACATTTTAAATTCTATTCGCCCATAAATATTTTTTTACTCGTGGATGTCTTTCTATTTAATCTTTATTGAGCATTCCATTAATCCAATTATATAGCATATTAGAGAAAAAAGACGACTTAGCTATGCTCGAATCATTTAAACAATTATAACAGGTAAAATAAGTCGATTGTTTTTCGAAAATCAGAATAATGGCTTCTTCTGACTACATCTTGTAAAAAACAGAGTACACTCC